AAATAAAATTACTAGTAACATATTTATTCCTTTCGCCAGCAAATACTGCTTCATTTTTCTTGGTAAAATAATAAACACTTACTTATTAAATTATTGTAGGTAAATTAAATAAAAGTAAACAGTTATAAATTTAACCATTTATTTTTAGAAACAGGATCCCAAAGCTTGATCTGATTTTAAGACCTTGGTGTCATATGTTCTTGGAAGCTGCACGAGTTGTTTGGTTTTTAATTCAACTTCGCAGGTGGGTCTTTCCTTTACTAAACAGGTTGTTACTTGTCTGCAGATGAAGTTTTTGGTTAGGTTAGGTGGTCTTGATACACAACTTGATAGATCCTTAAGTTTGCTGTAGTATGTTTCATCGGCGTTTGGAGTTTCAAAAGGCCACTTGATTGCATAAGAAACACCATTTATTAAACCTCTTCTCGTTCGAATAGTTGAATCTATATTATGACCTGTTAAATGGCAAATTTTAAAATTATTTGACATTAGTTCTAATGTTTCATTGCAAGTAAATTGCGAATTTTTATTAAGATGATTAGTATTATTTGATTTTCTTATATTATTACATAAAGGCAGAGACGTTTGATACATTTTATAAGCAAAATTCAATTTTTCCTCATATATAGTTATATTAGAATACGAGAGCAACGTGAATTTATCATGAGAAATTCGAGCTTGACTTCAGCTATGAAAAAAAAATTCCAGAATGATCGTTAATATTTGTCATCTCGTACGATAGGTTAGTACTAGTGATAATGAATTTAATTATTGAGGTCAGGATGGGCAATGATCAGAAACGAAGTCATCTGTAAAAAATGGTTTAAGTAAGTTATGATTATAAAAAGCTGTTTTATTATTGTTTAGTAATAATTTAACAGTTTGATTTGAATATGTTTTGAATATTTTATAGGGACCTTTGTAAAGAGCTGTGAATTTTTTATTTAGTCCAGGTTTTGTAAATTTATTTTGTAAGTAAACATATCACCATCTATATACTGATATTGATTTAATTTTTTATTATAATAACATTTAGATATTTTTTTGACTTAATGTTTTTCTCGAGCTATTTCAAAACTTTTATTTAATTTTAATTTAAGGTAAGAGTAATAATCATCATATGTATACTTAAATTCTGGCTTAGATGTCAATGAGCTAGAAACGAAAGCTTTATGTCCAAACATGAGTTCGAAAGGACTGAAATTAGCAGATTTATGAAAATGAGTATCGTATGTGAACATAGCTAAAAGAATATATTCATGTCAATTATTTTGTTGAGGGTTTATGTAATATTTTAGATATACTTTTAATGTGGAATGTGATCGTTCAAGAGCACCATTAGTTTGTGGATGATAGGAACTGGATAAAATGTGACGTATTTTAAATAATTTATTAAGATATTTAATTATATTAGATGTAAAGTCAGAACCTTGATTTGAAAGAAGAGATTCGGGGATACCAAATTGATAAATAAAATTTAAAAGATTTTCAGCTATAGTTTTAGCTTCATGATTATGTATTGGTACAGCATGAGAAAATTTAGTAAGATCATCTTGCATTGTAATTACAAAACGATTTAGTTTTTCAGTTATAGGTAAAGGGCAACTATGTCAATAGCTAGACGTTGAAATGGCCTTTCACTAGTTGTAGTGATTTCAAATAGGGGCTTTCGGATTTTTACCTTGATTTTTATTAATTTTAAAAGATGTACAATTTTTTATAATCTTTTTACATTTGATTTTACAGTCTTTTTACATATGATTTCATATTAGTCCATTTATAGTTTTCTTTAATACGATTATAAGTGCGGTGTTAACCTGAATAAGCTTCGATAGCAGATTCATGATTTTCTTTTAGAATCTGATTAATCTCATCTTTAGTTGTAGGAGAACATTTTGGTTTATTTACTAAAATAATTTTTATTGTTGTTTTAGAGAAAAGAAATTCAAGTAATTCATTAAACATATCTTGTTTTAAAATAGTATGTCCTTCTATAGGGTTTTTAAGAAAAATTTCATTTATATTATTTTTTAATAAAAGAGAATAAAATAAATCATTATTATATTCTTAGGGTTTTCGCGTAGAGATACCAAAGAAAGCATATGAGCACCAAATGATTTCGTCAGTTCAGGGATGGTTTTGAAAAAAAATATGAGCAGTGTATGACTTTGGGAGTTCAGGGACGGAAGTTTTTTTTAATGTCCAAACAGTGGCACTTAAGCACCTGAGTGGGATCGGAAGGGTATAAACCAGTTGCTTTGAAACCTGATATTAAGTTTTGTCCTATATTAGCAGACACTGATTTCCGTAATTTGGAAAGCAACACTGGGAACTGCTCTTTTGGAAGATTTCCGGGATACCGACTTTCCTTTCTCCAGGTGTCCAAAATTTGCCTCCACTTTGCTTTCATCGGCCGGAATACAGCGTCATCAAGCGGTTGCATCAGGTGGGTAGCGTTGGCCGAAAAAGGGTCATATATATATATATGATTTTCCCTGCAGGATTGGATTACCTTGGGAGAAAAAAAAAATGGCTTGCTAAATTGTCTCCCACGACATAGTTGTTGAGCCTGGTGTCCGAGTTGAGTTGATATGTGGAAGCAAGATTTTGAAATACCACATTTCAAACAAATTCATATCAAACCAGCCGCTGGGGCTGTTGGCATATTTAGTTCCTGGAGGACCCCCTTCACTCCAATTTTCGTACATTATTAGAAGCCTTGTAAACGACCACGGGGAAGTAGATCACCCCTAGCATTACCACAAACCATAATACTAATAGCGGTACGGGAATGACTCTGTATCCTTTCGACCCTTTTTGTGCTGCGTGGAACAATAACTTTCTTGGATCCGGGATCATCCGTTATGTTAGTTTCGTCGTAGTTATATATGTTATAATCGTCTACATCAGCAGCTCCTCTTGAATATTGTTAAAAAATGTCATATCATTCTTATCAACGGACGCTCTAGATCTTTTGATATTGGATGCCAGTCTTATTGACAAATTGTTCCTGGCAATAAATCATCTCCTGGTAAGTTATTTTTAAATAATCTGACAGTTTTTCCTTGTTTTTCAATGTATTTTCCTATTAGTATCCTTACATCATATCTGGTTAATGGGAATCCTCAATTGGCAACAATTCCAAGAGTATCCGTAATGGTGGTCTCTTCCTCGTCCGACAACTCTTGGGTGACCAACTGGGTTTAAATTTCTTCCGACAAGCTTCCTCTGTAGTTGCCCGGGGAGCATTTAAGCAAAATGTACCATTATATAGTCCATAATGTGATTTTCCCTGCTCTCATTAGTTGAGACTAAACGGTGGTGCGTTTTGCCAACCGTGACTAAAACGTGGTACGTTCTGCCATATTCTTTCCAGCATCATGCAAATGTTTTAAGGACAATGCAGATTACACTAACATGTTATAAACGCCATTATTAAGATCTTTGATTTTTAGGAATGACCACAGAATTATCCTATTTAATATTTGATCGTCTTTTTAGGACCAGCGTGAAATGTTAAGAAAACGCCAATTTTATAATAAAATATTTTGAAAGTTCAAGAGGTGGTTTTAAATTTCCATAACTATCAAAGTATACAACATGATTATCATTTTTAATGTATGAAGTCCAATGTGTTCCTTTATTTTGCTTCCTATCTAAATTAACAACACCACACTCTTTTAAAGATATTGTATTTGGAAGTTCATCAAGCATAAATACATCCCTGAAATTAGGAATTTTCATTACTTTTACATATTTAATGTCAATATTTGTAAGCAGTCTACGTGGAAAACTTATGTTAATCTTTTGGTCTTTTTTTTATACCAAGTTTACCACCTTTATACGGTTTTATAAAAAGTCCTTTTCCCTTATACGGTTTAATAAATCATCCCTTTCCCTTAGAAACATCCTTCATTGCAATATTATGTCTATGCATTTCTTCTAACTGCTGTTTAGATGCTTTAGCATCATTGACTGCTTTGGCAATTCCTGCAGCACCTCCACCTAGTGCACCTAATTACTAATAATTACTCTATTCCAAGCCTGATCTCCTAACAATTTATCAGATGCGTGTCTTTTTAATAAATCTTCAGATTGAGAGTATGCTATATCATGCTGTTTACAAGCAGCATCCAATGGATTTACACCAGTATCCCCTCTGGCTATTCTCTTCTCCAATTTTGTACCCGGTCCACAGTAGTTATATCCTGGTATGTGAAATTCGAAGGGAAGTTTGGTAATTAATTTGTTTACTAAACTAAAACCTTTTTTTCGTCTCCTATTTATAGTTCTGTTCACACTGGAGTGATGTACAATCATTAAAACGTATTTAAATACTAAAAATACTCTATTGCTGATAGGGTATAAATACTTTTACACACAATGGAATATATTAGTAATTTTAAAAATGAAGATCGAAAAACAAAAATTCTCTTTACCTATTAAGAACCACGATGAAAAAAAAGTTTCACACAAACAATTTAGGAAACATGGGGCTTTGTTTGGTGGTGGCTCGAAAAGAGGATTAATTGTTGGTTGTAGTGGAAGTGGTAAAACTAATGTTATGTTAACATTGCTTGAACATCCTAATGGTATTAGGTTTAAAATGTTTATATATATTCAAAATCATTAGATCAACCGAAATATAAATATTTAAGACAACTTTTAGAACCTATGAAAGAAACTGGATATTTTGAATATGATAATGATGAAAATGTTATTTCACCTCATAAAATAAAACCAAATTCTGTTATTATCTTCGATGATATTCCTTGTCACAATCAATCAATTACTCGAAATTATTTTACACATGGTAGACATACAAACACAGATTGTTTTTTCATATTTCAGGGCTACTCTTCTATTCTTAAACAACTAATTCGTGAAAATTCAAATTTATTGATTTTATTTAAACAAGATTCTTCAAGTTTAAAACATATATATAATGTTCATTGGATGATAGCTATGACATTTGATGAGTTTAAAAATATGTGTGCTAAATGTTGGAAGGAACCCTATGGATTTCTTGTAATTGATAAAGATTGTCAATTAAATAATTGTAGATATAGAAATAAATTTGATTCCTATATTTATATATAAAACGAGTTTTGTGGTTTTTCCTCATTTAAAAATTATCTAACATGGATAAACGTTTAGCTAAAGAGTTGATAAAGTCAAGACAAGCAGTAAAATAAAAGTATCATATGCTAAAATCAGCAGCATCTACAACACAAGCAGAGTTAGAACAGACTTACAAACCAATAACACAACCTCTACAAGAACTAGTCTCAGCTATTGGAAAATCGGAACATTTACACATAAAAGAAGAACCTGTTGACTTACAAGAAGAATATTTTAAAACTTCAACACCTACAAAAGTTAAAATAACTCCGAAAACTGGCAAAATTCCTATATTACCACCTGAAACTCCATCATTTTTTAACAGATCAACAGAATCTATAAGTCAGATTCCCAATATACAAGAAACAAGTGTTATTGCAGAAACATTTCCTTCACAATTTAACCATTCAGAAAGTAGAAATTTATCAGATATATTAGAAGGGACAAGACAAACTATTCAAACATGTTGGGAGTTCGGGATATGATGATTGGTTGAATGCTTTCCATGAATTACCAAGAACATATATAGATGAAGGTGTGAGAGATACAAAGTCTAAGTTTGATCATAATTATGGAATAGTGCATGATCTCGAAAGAGATAATTTTTTTTTGGGTTTAACACAAAAACCTGTGGAAATAATTATAGAACAAATTAAAGATTCCATTAACGATACATCACAAATTGAATCAATCAAAAGAAATCTTCAAAATGACATTAAAACAAAATTTGAAGATTTCGCAAACAATGTTTACGAAAGAGTTAATGAAGAAGTAGATTATTTTAAGAATGTTCATGATAAAATTGACAGAACTGAAAAAATTACAGCGACAGCATTAAATATGCACATAGTTAACCATAAAAAAGACATAGAAGAACTACAAGATCTAAGACAGCAATTTAATAATACATTAGCTGAAATTACAAAATTAAAATCAGAAAAAAATTTGGAAAGTGAAGATAGAAATAAAAGTAAAGATGAAATTTCTACAATAAAATCCAGTTTAGAGAAGTTCGATTTAAAATTGGATGAACTTTATGTAAATCTAGAATCATTGGAAGAGTATGTAAAAGAAGAAAATAAAAAAATTAATGCTGATATTGATGAAATTGATAAGACCATGAACACTCAAATTAGAGAAGTGATAATTAAAAATCAAAAAGACAGAATTAAACATCTAAGAAATGATATTGATAATATTCATCAAACTAAAACTAAACTTATAAACGATACTCTTAATGGTAAAAAATTAGTTGATGTACCTTTAGACAGTAGACAATATATAGAAAATCTTTCACAAATTATATATACTATCTCTAAAATATTGGATGAAGAACTAACAAAAATAGAAACGGAAGTAGAAAATTCTGCAAATAAAAGAAAAGATTTTCTATTAACAACAGTTAAAGAATATCGAGATAACCTAGTCAAAGAAATAATTAAAATTAATGAAATTTTGATTGAAACTCATAAGGATGAACAAATACAAAAATTAAAAGAATGGAGAGAGATGTATAAAAGCTTTGTGGACAACTACTCTCAAAACAAAATATCTTTTGGTAAAATTTCAAAAGTATGACAACCATTAAGGAACAAGTAGTTAATGAGTTACATAAACCTGCTAGAAAAAAAATTATGCGAAGAAGGGTAATTGTTAAAGGACTAAATGATCTTTTACAGGCAGATCTAGTAGAAATGCAACCATATTCCAAATTTAACAGGGGTTATAGATATATTTTAGTTGTTATAAATGTGTTTTCAAAATATGTTTGGGCAGAACCTGTAAAAACAAAATCTGGTAAGGATGTTGCCACAGCAATGAAAACCATATTACTTACTTTAAAAACCAACCCACAAAATTTGCAAACGGATAGGGGTACAGAATTTTTCAACCAACATTTCCAAAGACTGATGGAACGATTTAAAATTAATCATTATAGTACTTTTTCCAATTTAAAAGCAAGTGTAGTTGAAAGAGTAAACCGAACATTAAAAACCAGAATGTGGAAAATGTTTAGTTTGCAAGGAAATTATAGATATTAATATTTTACAAGATATCGTTAAGGATTACAACAACACCAAACATTCAACAATTGGAATGAAACCAAACCAAGTAAATAAACAAAATGAAAAGAAGATTTTAAGATCAATCTTTACTCATGCTAAAACAGTAGATTCAAAACTTGTTAAATTTAAAGTTGGAGATTATGTGCGTATAAGCAAGTATCGCGAGGCGTTTTCCAAAGATTACACTCCAAATTAGTCAAATGAAATATTTAGAATTAAAAAAGTAAAGATGACAAATCCCAGAACATATACAATTGAAGATAAAAGAAATGAGGAAATTCAGGGTGGATTTTATGAACAGGAGTTACAGAAAGCAAAACACTCTGATGTATACCTCGTTGAAAAAATTCTAAGAAGAAAAGGAAACAAAGTTTATGTAAAATGGTTAGGATTAGATAAAAAGTTTAATACATGGATTAATAAAAATGATGTTGTATAGTTGTTTTATGTAACTTAAAATAAAATAAAAGCACTAATCAGTATAATATAGTTTTATTTAATATTGGGTTAAATACAAGTATTAGCAAATCGTGTTAAATACATCTTAGTTCTGTGTTCTTTGCTTAGTATTGGATCAAGAATAAGCTTACAATTATTAATTCGTTTTTCAAAACGAAGTCTATCAAAATAATAAGTTCTAAATTCACTTTTTCGTGCTTGTTTATAAGCAAAATTCCACTGCACTAACACATAAAGTTTATTTTTCTCTTCCTGAAAAGTCACCGATTTCTTCATAATATTTTCTTTTGAGTTCATTCCTCTTCAACCTTTTTCCCAATTCCTCCGGGTATTGTATCAGGAACTCCAACATGGTTGACACATTTTCACTGTTGGGATTTTGATTGGGTTGCAAAATGCGATAAATATTATCAATAGGATCACCTTCCTGAATTGAAATGCTGGTTTGGAATACTTTAAAGTAAAGTGAAAATTCTTGTTTCTTTATAATAGAAATCCTGTAATCCACAACTTCCTTTAATCGCCATAATATTTCTATAGACTCATATCCCAAATATACATAGCTTGAATATTCTTCTATAATTTTTATAACAGGAAGACTGTTGACTTTCTCAAAATATAATTTGAAGTTGTCTATATTCATCATGGGTTCGTTAATTTGCTGGGGAAAGCAGAAGTAATTTTCAATAACTCCTCGATGATTGCAAAAACTTTTCCAATTTTCTTCACTTAGAGTTATAGAAAAACCATTTTTTCCACTGATTATAATTTTCGGTGAAAAATCTTGATTACTTATACCAACAGTAACAGATTTTGATGAAGATTTATTTAAAAAGAAAATTTTTGAATTTAAAAGATTTTCAAAGTTTTTAGAAGACATGGTGAAAGAACTAAATAATATTAAGTTCTTCTCTTACTTTAATATTCGAACCCCTACCAATTCATACCCCCACCTTTTCATATCGTCAACTCATGCGCATTGCTTATTGTCTATTCGAAACAATATTTTAAATAAAATTGATTAATGAAAGTGTAAATTTCCTGTTTGAAATTTATAATAAAAAAAGATAATTAAAATTGTAATATACAAAAATATTGTAAAAGTTAAAAAGATATTAACGATATTAAAAATGTTATATCCATTATTTTTTTCATTAATAAATTTAGTATAGTTGAATGATCCATTTTGAAAATGTGTATATTTTAATTCGGATCTTTCAATCCAATTAGTATCAAAAATGGTTTGGTTTGAATAATGATATAAAATTTTAAAAAACCTACTAACATTTTCTCCTTTGTTGATGGGATATATAAAACTAAGCGTATTATTATTGATTAAACCAACTTTCATAAACTGACAATTTTTATCAAGTGTAATGTTTGTTTCATTCGAAAAACATATTTCACATTCACGGGTTACAGTGGGGGGATAATGAACATAAATAACATTTTGAAATATGAAATAAAGGTGAATAAAATGGGTTTGATGAGCCATTGAAAGAATGTAAATATTTTATTAAAAAATTTATTTATCTTGAATTTACTTCCATTCAAGATGATTACCAAATGATATTTGACAATATCTTTTCTAAAGATTAATATAAATACTTATTAGCATAAGAAATATATGTTGAAAAAAAGATGTAAATTAATGAATAATAATATCATCAAAATTACACGTTCCAGTGAGTTATTAGATTTTTGGATATTTTGTTTCTTATTTTTTTTGTTTTGGCTTAACCATAGACATTCATTTAAATTACATAATGGAGAAATTTTGTGATGCTCTTCTATAGGACAGTCATCATAGTTCCATTCATAAATTTCAGTTCCACAATAGTAACATTTGCATACGTCACTATATGAAATATAATAAAAGCCTGCTCCTGCTAATACCTCAGGTTCCAATTTTCCATTCCAGTTTTTAAAAGTAGAAAGTCGATTTTCATAGGTTTTATAAGTAACATCATCAATATCTTTATCAAAACTTTCCAAACACATCTTAAGAAGGGTTAATAAGAAATGAAATATTGTCAAAACATGTATTTATAAGTAGGTATATTTTTCATTAAAATGCATTATCAATACAAAAGTATATTTTTAATTAAGATAAAAACTTATCTACCATATAAAATAATTATATTAGTCACTACATTCTAAATAGGTTATTACCATTTAACATGTAATTAATTTGTAATTATGTAAAACTAAAATACATGAAATATAAATTGTTCCTATATATAATTAATTATAATTTGATAACTCTATAACTAATATGTATAAATTATGATAAGTTTAAAACATTCTGAAGGGAATAATAAATTAATATTAATAAATATATTTGTTTTAACTCATTAATTTAATTTATTAAATTAATGAGTTAAAACAGATCAACTGATACCCAAGGGGGGAGGACGGTTACGGGGAGGGGGGTCGTACCCCCCTTGGCGTTTCTTTTTTACAAAACACCAAAACACCATTTTCCTTGTTAAATTAATGAGTTAAAACATTTAGGAGAGGAATGAAAAATACAATCACAATGAATCATATTAAATGTTTAAATTAAAGAAATAATATTAAATTAAATATTATTTAAAAATATATTGAGGTCTGGATGATCAACATTCCACTGATAAAATGAAATATCATGATGACCCCAAGCAAGTGTTTTATAGTCATATGGTATTTGATATCTTTTATCGTCCTCGGCATTCAATGCAATTTTATGTATTAATTCGGTAAAAATTGTATGTAGTCGAAAACGAAACACATACATAGAGCAAAAAATTTTAGAATTATTTTCCACCAATCCAAACATCTTTGTAGTGGATAAAGTCTAACTGATTTTTAATAGCATGTTTTTTTATACCTTTGGCTTTCTTTATTAAACCATTTTCGGTTTTTACACAGTAAGCTTTTGCTCCGGTACCATAGAAAGCTACAATCGGTTCACCAGCATATTCATCCTTAAATTTGCCAACCACTGATTGTGTTATTGGCATATTATGCATATTATTACATACATAAGATTAAGACATAACAAATATTATAAGAGAGATCTTAATATTAATCACAAACTAATAAGTCTTAATTTGGTCTTGTATAAACACAGGTATAAAACTAATAAGATCAAAACTCAACCTTCACCATATTGTCAAGATTTGGCATTATAGGAAACAAGAAATTACAGTAAATTAATAAGAAAAGAATATCAAAGTACACGATATTAAATACTGTAATGTATTCTACGACACAAACCATCTCCCTTCTAAAGAGAAAAAGATAAAACATAAAGCTTATTTTAGTCTTATATCAACACACTCTTCGATAAAATATATGTGTAAAATTGCTATTAATCCACTAACTTGATATTTTTAAGAAATTATGATACAAACATTATAATCAAAGTACCGTATGATCGATCGAATACAAGTGCATAATTGGAAGTGTCAAATTTATGAATATTTCTATTCATATCATGGTAAACATTTTCTGTTGTCACTTCCAGAATAAAAGAATCTGTATCAGTATACAAAAAAGAGACACATTATCTTTATACAAAGGTTTTAAAAAATTATAAAAAAATCGTACATGACAGTTTTTGAAATATCTAGTATGGAAAATCCAACATATACTGGTTTATTATAAGTAACTAGTATTTTTTCATTTGAATAGCGACTAAGTTTTCTGAGAAAATTGTCTTTAGAAGAAAAGTCCTTGAAATATGGCTTTGCTATTAAATTTTCAGCTCCATCTTTTCTTTTATTTTTTTCCCATTCGGTAACAAGTCTTACATCGACTCTCCTATCCACATTTTCCATTGTTTTTCCATATATACTATTATTTGCTAATTTGTACGTGTGGCGATCAAATTCATTTTTAGACTCATTACGTAACTTTGTGTTTAAATCTATAAATTTTTTCAACCAAGCAGATTGAGAAAATTGTATCACTCTATGGATTTTAGTTAACTTAAGACCGTTTTGCAAACATTGTTTTAGTAATTGGTAATGAATAACATATTTTGATTTATTGTTTAAATTTGGTATTAATTTTGCAGATTTTGAATTAGGTGGTTTATAATTTTCTGGACAAAAAGGAAAATCGTTGTGATAGTCATGAAGGTGTTCAGGATATTCTATATCAACTTCTAAAACATAACCTTTGCTAGATGTATTAGAAATTGAAAAAATATCAAGATTTTTTATTTCTTTTTCGGTTAACCATACAAAATCACCTGTTGGCAGATATTGGGACATTGCAAAACCGTATAAATTTGTTGCATCATAGTACATTATATACTTATTAGGTTTTGTTGAATCAAATTTTGATAGAAAAGGATTATTTGCCTCTGATTTCCGTGTTA